AATTTAAGACACACTCAGATGAGCTCAGGGAACACAGTATTGTAGCAAATATGTGATAAGATTAATATAAATGAAAGCCAAGTGGAGGGTAAACTTTGATTGTATCAAGTTGTTTTCAGTTTAGGAGTCTGCTTACGCTGAGTTTTGTGCAATAGTTGTGCAAGAATATATTTTTTTTTCAGTTTTTCAGGGTGAATTGCATAACTTTTATTTCTATAACGATAGGAATCCATGTTATATTTTTTGTGAAAGTTCTGTTTAACTTTGAAGAAGTTAAAGTTAAACTAATTCTCATGGATTAGTTTTTCCGAAACAGCATTTATAGAAAAAACAAGACTTTTATTTTGAAATGTTTCTACCTCAGCCCGTTTGCCTCTAGTAACTATGTGTACAGTACTGACTTGACCAATAAAGTGAATTAAGTGGCGGGAGAATCGTTTACACCATGAGGAGAGTCTCTACACACCATCTCCATGTCTAAAGTTGGCCTGAGGCAGAAACTGCTTTATCAGGATAGTTTGTCTCCTTCCACAATATGTTATGAAGGTTTTCCTGGACACCGGCAGACAGAGAAAACTCCTCATCCTGTACCTATTTATCTGGAATATTGCAGGTCAGTAGTACAGCGCCGGGGAAGCCGGATGCAAATAGAATTGATATTGCTGTTATAAAAGCAGATTACGTTCATAATGTCAAGGTCACTTTGACAAATAAGAGCACCTTTATTCAAAAATAACTTGGACTTTTAACAACTATAGTCCAAACTGGCGTCGCAGCATTTATTTTTTTTTTTTGAAATATTTTATTGTTGAGGCTTTTTTTTCTTTACTTTTAAATGCCACATTATTAACTTTGAAAATACATCTAACGGTAAACATATTAGAAATGTACTAATTTTGTTTAGGGTAAACATTTAGAAGGCAAAACAGGTGTGCGTTGATACATTATGAGGATCCCAAGTAGCATTAAACGTTCACCCAACGTTCACTGTCCCTGAACAGTGAACGTTGTCATGACAACGTTCACGGAACATCAAAAGGACACCATTAAACAGCCGACAGACGTTGTCTGCGGACGTTTAGCGAGCGTTGGTTAGCTGTTCGAAGTTAACTGGCATCGTTCGCTAAATCTCAAAAGATCTGTAATGACTACCAAATCAAAAGTAACGATAAAAAAAGAAAAAAAAAACACCCACTTATTTTACTATAATTGTATGTAAGAGGAGATATCAGTAAAAAAAAAAGAAAGAAAGAAAAGAATGGCGTAAAGCATCGATTTTAATTCAAAGGGATGTAGAAATTAAAAAATAAAAAGATGAAATATATCAAGAAAAACCTCAGCGTTTTAAAACATGTACTTGGTAAAATAAAAAATAAATAAAAAGCCTTTTCAACTTTGTTCCAATCCGGAAATTCAGGTAGGCAACTTCTTTTAGGTTATATTGCACGAATATCACAGTTTAATCCTCTCTCTCTCTCTCTCTCTCTCTCTCTCTCTCTCTCTCTCTCTCTCTCTATCTATCTATCTATATGTATAGCTATATATATTTGTAGAATCACTTTAAAATAACCAATGTTGAGGAAAAATGAATATTTGTAGTGTTTAATACAGTTAATCTTACGATATGTGAAAAGGGTATATTGAGCATGGTCATTTTGAACAAAATTCTTAATCATTAATTCCGGGAGCATAAGAGAATATAATGAGCCAGAAGTTTTATTTTTATTCTCTTAACACCAATTACCACAATAGCAGCTTAGCTTTTATGTGTGTGTTTGTGTGTGATTTTTCTTAATTTTTGTTTGTTCTTAATTAATGTTTGCTCCTAGCTGATTGTCCCCTACCTGAACATGGAGAGTACACAGTTCTCACAAATGAGTCCCTTCTAATAAATGATTTCCCTGATGGTACTGTGATCACATATGAGTGCAGACTTGGACATGTAAAAACAAGTGGCACTGGGACATCGAACTGCGTCAATGGGAAGTGGACCGAGCCAGATATCATCTGCAGGAGTGAGTCCTGTCTAACTTGCATTTTACATCTGACATCTAAAATGCTTTACCTGGTCATCTTGACTCTATGTAATCCTACACTGATGTCTACTGTTTATTTTGGTTATGTTGTTTTCCTTTATATCAAAGAGAAAGACTGTGGTCCACTTGAAGCAAAACCACACATGATATTTGACACCAGCCAGAGTACTCTGTTTGGTGCAATATTAAAAGTAACCTGTGAGGAAGGGTATGTATGATTCCAAATATTTAAATTCCATTATTATCTGCTTAAATGTCAATGTGTTATCTCAGAAAATCAAGTATATGCCTTGGCATTAGACTCTTGCGTTTCTTTTGGTTATATTCACTAATTGAGTCCTGCAACATGTTTTTCTTTCTGCTTTTGGAACGATCTACGGTCCGCTTTCATCTGCATATTAACCACGCCAGAGTTCACTTTAACCCCCTAACCCGCTCCGGAATGCTCGCGTGCCGTTTTTCCCATAGCATCTTCTGGGGCTCAGATTTAAGAGTTTAAACTCTGCCAATGTCCATTATGATGCTTTTATTGGGCAGCCTACAGCTCCTTCCTTTTGATTGACACCTCATTCAACCAATAATGTTATGAAGTGGCTTTTTCCGAGCCAATAATATCCAGAGAGCGACTTGAGCTCGTTTTGACATGCCTGTATTCTTTCTGGAATATTTCTAACTGGTCAACTCGGAAACTAAATCTAAACCCACCGATGTGTCCTGTCATAAGGATATATGGCATTTTGGGGTTTATTTTGACATGAATCAATCAGCAGCATGTGTAACCATACGTAATGTGTGCATCTTTGAGGTATTTTGATCAGTCTTGAAATCCACGAGTAGAATACTTTTTTCTACAGATTTATTGTATTTCCCATTCAATACATTCAACACTCAATGTGCATTTACAAGAGATAAAAATTAAAAATCTGGGTGAAGCAAAATTTTTCAATTTTCTTTGTGTTATCTACAAACTACTTACAGTTAGGCCCCGCCCAACTAAAGCCAGACGCTAACAGCCAATCGTACCTCATTTGTTTTGCAAAAAACTTCATTCAGTTTATTCATTTACTATCAGTTTATTCACTCACACAATTTAATAAATTCCGTGATGAGCTTACAACATACTGTTTTACCAGATAATACAGATCATAGATCAACACAGATCATAACTTCAAAATTATAGTGAGTGAATCAGGTCACCAAATAAACTATTTACAGCTTATTGAGGCAGCCTGTGGACATAAAATTCCACACATTTGTATTATGCAAATATTTAAAAAGAAAGAAAAACACAACTTTTCTTTTCTCTCTTGCTCTCGCTGAAGGCGGACGCTTTTTCCTCTGCTCCCTCCCTGCTCATGCCTGCCCTGCTTGCTCTGTTTTTGTCCTGAATTTTTCTATATTTCCAGAGCCTTTCTTTGCACATCATCCAAATCTAAAAATTATTGATTTGGTCAACCGATCTCTCAATGCAATTTATCAAATTTTTGACGAGAAGTCTAGACATAGGAGAGCCCTCTTGTCCTGCAAGGACACACCCGGTGGGATTCACCCTGGATTTATTCATGATAACAGGATTTCTGCTGTTTGGAGATTGTGGATTCCTGGATTATCGACAAATTTGTGACAGACTTCAGTGGACTTTGGTTCAATGGAACGACCAAATTGATTTGGATGATTGGGAACTGAGATGCATTGGCGAGACTTTAGGGAAGATAGAAATTTATAATCTTCCCGACCTAAGACATTCTGTATCTGAATTGGCTTTCCCCATGTGGCCTTGGAAGGGCTGCATATTTCTAATCTCCTTGAAGATATGTAAACACAACGCTCTTCCCTCCTCACCCCCTCCTGTATCCATGGAGTTGCGAAGTTGAACGCTCCCAAGGACATTCCTGGATAAACAACATCTTTATCGGACTCCGCCAGGAGGCTCAGTAACGTGGCTTCATGGCCCTTTGATGTCACCACCTTCACTTGTGTCTTTGTTTAGCCCTTTGTTTTGTCTGAATGTTGCCATTTGCCCTAATGTGTCCTTTCCTCTTTTTTTTAGTTTATTAGTAATATCAGAAATTGTGGAGTACACACTGTTTAGATCAATGTTATACAGTCCAGAAATGGAATCTGAATTAGAATAACTACGAACTTGGTATCCAGAAATACTTAACAGGAACAGTCACTGCTTAGTTTATATTACTTTTAACCCAGAAAAGACTTTAGAACAAACTTAGAATTGTGGAGTACTCACTTTAACCCAGAAAAGAAATGAGATCAGTCACTCTTTAGCTTATTTTATCAGAA